GAAAATATGAAAATCCTACTTGGTTTTCAGAACAGAGAAATGTCTTTGTGTTTCACCTAATTAACTTCAAGAAGAAAGTGTCTGAAGGAGTTGCTGAGCGAATCAAGAGGATCTATTAATGTGGAGCTGAAGTCCAAGCTGCCAGACAAACATCAGGGGACAATTCAAGTTCAGACTTCATTTGTTTCATTATAATGGCTTCTCGCCCTGGGCAAATGTCCACAAGAGCTCTCCTATTCAGTATGCAGGATGAAATAAGTTCTTTACAGGTAGACCAAAAACTTCATACCTTGAAAAACACTGGAATTTGAAAGAAGCAGCACAAAACTGAAGATGGGGAAGCCTGCGGTTCCATGCCCTCTCAGTCCCTGCGTAACCAAAACATTTTGTTCCTCCATTTATTCAACTGTCAAGTGGAAATGGTGCCACCTGCAGTGACTTGCAGTCCACAAGGGGCTGATGGAGATTCGTGTTACATTAGGCACAGAAAGTTCAGAGAAAGTAGAAGTGCTTACTCACGTCAGGTGGTTTGGCATCGATTAATTTTTTTTATTTTTGTCAAATAAGCAAACTTCTCTGGATTTCTTGAGGTTTGTGGTCCTAACCAACTTCTTTACATCAGCACCATAGTCACTTACGTGTGGATTCTTTGGTTTTACCTTCCTGTTCGACGATAGTATGGGCAGCTCTTCTAGTTTTCCCATAAATGACAAAAGCAACACAAAACCATTTGGCGCAATGTTTTCTCCAGAAGCCCCCCAGCAGTCTAAAGATAATTAAGACACCAGGATTTGGAATCTTCAATGTCAACTAAGATTCTTCCCAATTTAAGACATGATCTTCCCAAAATGCAGCAACGGACATATTAGGATGATGAGATTATGGGCAGTATGGATGTTACACAGAGGCACCCAGCCAAGGAGCAAGGACTGACTGATACCCACGTCCCTGTGCCATCTAATTATGAAGCATTTACTCTAAGTGCTCTGCCTGCCCAGAGAGGGCATCTTTTTCCATCTGAACAAAAGTTCCATATAGACTAAAGGTCCTGACCATGTGTGATTGCTTCAATTCTGAGAGAAGTGGGGCAGCAGAGGTGGACGTGGGGACAGTCATGGCTTTTTCTTTCTGCTCTAGTCCAGTTCAGCCTCCTCTGAGGCTTCAGACTCCTCCAGTTGCCCTTCTAGCCCCTCTGCCTTCCTTCTCACACATTTTCCTTCCCCTCCTTTTTCTACCCTCCTCATTCTTCTTTCTCTTTCCTCTCCTCTCTCATCTCTTCCTGCCCTTTCCTCTTGCTCCCAGGAGACAGGCGGGTGCACAGGAGCCATCCTGTTTCATCAACCTGTCCCTTGAGCCCTCATCATCAGTGACGTTCCTGTAATCACTTAGGAGTTTTTCTCATGGTCAGTCCTTGACACAACTACAAAGTAGCAGAAGTCTTGCTTCTGTTCTACCTTCTCTCCCTGATAACCGATATCCAGGATGCCCAGTGCAGACAGACCTGGTGGTCTGTTAGCATGCTTTGTGGTAGTAATAGCCACGTATGTTGCCTCAGTCAGATGTGTTGCCATTTAAAAGGAAGGTGCCTGAAATACTGTGTTTTAACTATAAGGAAAGAATCTCAAACAGGAGAATTTCCGGCAGCTTTCCGGCTGAGATAATGATGGCACATTTTTTGATAGAAACACCCCTCAAACATGTACTTACTCTACCTGTATTACTTCTTTGAAGCATTTTTCACAGATAGGTTTGAAGCTTCCAGCTTCCCTGCCTGCCTCTCTTTCTCTTCACTGCTAATCCATCTGAGATTATAACCTTTTCTCTAGAGAGGGCTCCCATCAGACCTTTCTAATTGACTGTCCCAAAAGACACAGCACCCATTTTCTCAGCCAGGCTGGTCCAGATTCTACCCTTGGTGAGTCAGCATCGTCTCTTCCTCACACCCTCACAACTCTCCTAAGCAATCCTAGCCAGTCCTGTGGTTTTATTCCACCAACCACTGGTGCTCCGGAAGCCTATACCTCCAGGCTGCAGTCCTTGCCTGAGCTCTACCACTGAACATACTGCCTGTCAGGCTGGCTCACCTGCTCCTGAGAACCTCAGCTCCGGAGGTCCCCTTCTGCTGCCATGCCAAACTTTTCCATTTTTCAGTTATTGGCACAGTCATCCACCAGAGAACCAAAAGCAGGAGTCACACCCATAATCATCTCTCTGTTTGCACTTAACTCTCCCCAAATCCATCCCTTCTCTAACCTCCACCCTTACTGCCCGTATTCTATCACCATCTCTTGCGAAGGCCCTGATTCATGATCTCATGTCCAGGGTCTCGCCTTCTCAAATCACCCTCTACAGGCTGCCACAGTGATGTTTCAAAAGTGCAAAGCTGAGCATATTATTCCTTTAAAAGAACTTCTCAAACTCCTCCACCTAAGTATTCCTCATGTAAGAAGAGTGAACAAGCTCCCAGGAGGTTTCAGAAGGTCAGAAGAGCAGGATCCAGAAGGCCTCACTTAAAACAGGAAGTTTCTATTTAAGTCACAATTTTTAATCCCATTTTTGCAATTTTGCATTCTATTTTATATTAGTTTATGTTTTGAAATTAAAATAACATTTTCCCAAATCTTCAAGCCAAATTGGTCCTGCAAGAAGGTACGTATTTATCCCAGGGCTTTCAGAAATCCTCAGGCCCTCTAGTTTGAGAAGCTAGGGTCCTAGATAAAAATGCACATTTTTTTTTTCATGTTAGACAAGGACCTTCTTGACAGGTTGTCTGTTTGTCTTTGCAGCTCCAACCTTCCAACCAGCTCCCTGCAGTCTGTTCACATTGGACATTATGCTATTCTGTGAAAATCATACTGGTTTTCATCTCAGGACACTTACCTAAGCTCTTTCCTCAAACTAGAATGAACCCCCTTCCCCATCTATCTACTTATCTTCTAGATGCAACTCAAGTATCACCTGCCCTATGAGCTCTCTATGAAGGACACACCAGACAGAGTTAGTCCTCTCTTCCTTTATGTCACCGACTCTCCCATAGCAGATATCTCACTAGATTGTAATTCCTTGTTGACATCTATATGCCCCTCTGGACTATGAATTGCTTCTGAGTAGGGTCTGTGTCTTATTCATCTTGGCCTTCCCAGGACCAGCACCATGCCCGGTACGTGGTCAGGTGGGAGGGAAATATGGTCAAGACATTTCACTCTAGTGCTCACCAGAGTTGATTTGCCTGATCTGAATGACCATGAGGATGTCCTTTTCTTCTCTCATTATCCCTTCCATCCCCTTTGTCAAATGGAATGGTCCCAGATAGGCAAAGGCACTCTAGTCAAAAAAGTGTCAATGGATTTCTTCTCCTGCTTAATCATTCAAATAAACTCTCAAGACCTGACACATAGTAGATTCTCAATGAATATCTGTTAAATATTTGAATGAACCATTGATCAGCACCATTATTCTTCTGAACTAAGCTGCATTTTCTCAATCTTATCTTCCAGAGAATACTGATATCTCTGAATATCCATGATCTAACCATCTGACAGCACTTACTGAGCATTAAATAAATATAATAAATGAATGAATTAACAAGTAATATGTTCATTTAAATTTCAGTGTTTCTAGCAAGTGCATGCACTTATTTTAATTTTTTCCCCTGACATCTGGTATGTTTACCAACCTTTTAAAAAGGGGCTTTCCACTCAGAAATGGAATCTTGACAAATTGGCAGTGACTGATTTTTTTTTTAAACCTTATCTGTGAGTAGTGTGATCCCCCGCCCCACCGCCCCCCGCTAATTTCAGGCTCCTTTAGAAGTAGAACTCTTGGCTGGCTTTGATCACTACCACAGCCAATATAATTTAATGAGCAAAAACTATGGTCCTCAAAGAAAGAACAATCTCTGTTTTTAAGTATAAATGCTCAATAAATGTGACTTGGAAGTATGGCAGTTCTTAAGCATTTAGGTAGAACTAAGTAAAAGTAAGAGTACTTCATACTCTAGCTAGCCCACAGTGAACACTCAGTGGATACTTTGCTCATCATGTATCCATTCCCATTCAGGCCTGAATGTGGAATGTAAGAGCTAATGCTTCTGGAATTTCAGAGCGATGCCTACTTTTAGTTCAAGAGAATGATATCCTTTCCTGAGCCACCCCATTTACTATGTAACCTGAGGCATCCCAGGTTACAACCTGGCAGCCAGGGACTAATAAGATTTTTTTTAATTTTGTCCTATTTTATTTTATTTTTATTTTTTATAAAACATAATCCAAGTGGATAGAAACTTCAGGCTGCGAAGGATTTTGTCTTTCCCAAACCTTAAGGCAGTGTTCTTTATGTATTTTGTTTTTCTGATTGAAAACTTCTACCAGTAAAAAGTTGATATATCTCCAAGTATGCATAATTATTTATTTATAAATTTTATATATGCATTACCATACTAATGTATCTGTACTTTTATAGAACTCATCAACCATCTACAGGGATGATATAAAAATGATTAAAAATACAAGTTACATTTTCTCCCCTCACCCCAGTGGAATGGCTCATAACTGGTCCAGCAGCTGAAACATTCACAACTTGGCTCTGGAAGGCTTGATGGGAACAGGGTTCCCAGGGTCAGGTCACTCAGTGCCTGTGGCTTCAGCTCACCCATGGGCTCTCTCTCCCTTCAATTAATTTAATCAAAATCAACTGACTTTAAACTTTGAAGAAAAAAATTAGAAATCAGTGATAGAATGATGATTTAAAAGATTTTATTTCCAGCAGAAACAGCTTTTTATAGTTGTGCTAAATGCTATATTTCATTCCAAATGAAAAGAACTGCTGATTATGTTGTAGGATACAGAAAAGCAATAAAGCTGCAGTATATCCTTGAAGCATGTCAGAAGTCGTACAGTAAGGAAAAGAAGAGTTTTATCTCACAAGGCCATAAACACTGAACAAATTAATTTTCCATTCCAGGAACTCAGCAGTCATCAACACAGCACTTTGCAAAATATTTAAGATTTGTGATAATAACAAGTACTGCAGTGGCACGCTGTGTGGTTCTCCACTCTGACACTTCCCATGACTCGGGCCTAAAGGGGAAGGAAAAAAAGATAGGTAATTAGATAGATGATAGATAGATAGATAGATAGATAGATAGATAGATAGATGATAGCCAAAATTGAAAACCATTAAATAAAATTATCTGTAGCCAACTGAGCTAAATAGATGCTTGCTATGTTTGCATTTTCTTCCTTTCTCATATTTTCACTCTAAAAAGTGAGGTATGTATTGTGTAAGCATCCTATCTATACTCTCTCCCAGCCTGCCCCTTATCATCTCTGCCCCTACTCTCTTCATTCTAAATAAAGCCAGCCTGTACCCACAAGGCTGTTAGCTCTTTTGATTAAAGGGGACAAATGCAGCCTCCTCCTATTCAAATGTCTAACAAGGGTAGGTCATTAGACACCTCAGACATTAAACCCCATGGATGTACTCTGGGGTTCTTCAGTTGGACTGTTAAGAGAGCTTCTGGGGCTCTTTCAGGTTCTCACCTTGGTAAATGCTTTGGCCACACAGCATGTGGCTTCTGAGGTGATGTTCTTTGGGACCAACATTGTCTTCTTGGACCTCGCTGGAGTAGGATATGCTCTGGAGAAGCAGCAGCCCATGCATTGATAAATTGGGGCACCCAGCTTGGAGAAGTACTTGTTTTCCTTGAGCTTGCATTCTGGACAAACTGTCACACACACACACACAAGACAAAGAATAAAATAGTCCAAAGATGATTCAAAAAGAAACTATAAGTATTTCTTTATTATGGGGTAGTAGATAGTTTTTATCGGTTAAAAATAGTATAAATAAATACCTTTTGACTATATGTTCATCTTAAAACAGTTTTTACAGATATACATGGAAAATCACAAAGTAGTAGTCTCTCTCTCTCTCTCTTTCTCTCCCCCTCTCCCTACAAGCATGACTTCCTCTTCCCAATACTAACACCATGCCACAACTTGACGTATAAAAACACCATGCTCATCTGAAAGGAGAATTTTGCCCAAAGGCAAAATAGTTCCCCTTTAAAATCTGCTGTCGTTATTCCCATAGAAACTCCAAATATTAACAGAGAAAAGTATGCCAGACTTAAGAGAGCCTGGTGAGAGCAGAGAGTCTGATGTTAGAGGGAGCATCTGCATATGGATCTGCGATTAAAATATTAACACTTGTCTAGAGAGAAACCATAGCCAATAGTAGCTCACACTTTCATAGCAGATGGAATTATATCAGTTACTCTATGAAATTTTTCAAACAATACAGCAAAACAAATTTACTGTATTAGAAAATGGTCTTCTTTTTCTCACTCATTAACTGATGTGAAAATTTATCTACAAAGGCAATGTTAAAATCCTCTCAAATCTTCTGGGAGAAATGTAAAAAAAAAAAAAGAGCTAAATTGAATAACAAAATTTTCTGCTTGCAAAACTTGTAAAAGAATAATCAAGAATCTATTTCAGGTGAAAATGTAAAGGTTGCTATTTAAATAGACATGTAAGATATCATTTTCATTGTACGTTTTTGGAATTGAATTTAATTTTATGTTCACTGTCTGTAAGTGCCTAGATAGGTAACCAGCAGCAAGTATTAACCACATTTAAAAAGGAGGTGGATATATGATATAATTAATGGAGTTATTGATGTACATCTTGAAAGGCGTGTTTTTCTTATTAGTGCAAACCCAAGTTGGTTACACACCCTGCATTGTAAACTCTTCATCAGGAAAAGGACGGAGAACATGCAGAAACATAGACAACGTGGCCAAAATGACAACTATTTTTTTTCGGTAGTAGTCCATGGTTCTTCTGCAACATAGAATGGGAAAATAAAAGTTACTCTAAAATTGGTTTACCAGTCATAACAACAACCAGTAGTTTTAACATTACTTCTAATAATAGTCATCATTAGTCATCAGTATCTTGATCCTTCTGTTTACAGTTCCCAACACACTTTAAAGCCCTGTATATGAGGGAATACCCTTAAAAAACCTGGAATTTATTTATAAAAATTGTGTATTCTTACATGTTTTAACTTCAGTCACCTTCAAAGTACTCTCCATTTTATGCAATACACCTATCGAGACGTTTTTCCACAGCTCACAATGGTTTTTGAACATGTTGATTTTGATGCCTTTTAGTGCTTCTGCCGTTTTTTTGTTTCACCTCTTCCACACTGGCAAAACATTTCCCTTTGAGGACTTTTTTCATTGGGGAAACAAAAGAAAGTTGCTAGGGGCAAATCAGGTGAATAGGGAGGGTAGGGCACGGGGGCCATGCCATTTTTGGTCAAAAACTGCTCATCACTCAGCCTGATGTGGGCAGGTGTGCTCATAAATCACCCATCAGGAAATGGGCAAACATTCGAAGAGTCTTCCAAAAAAAATTCAGTGAAAGCAAAGGCAGCCTCTCACAGCACCACCAGCTGGTGCACTGATGCAGATGGGTTCCTAGAACACCCACCTAGCAGGGGAATCCTGTACTACAAGGGGCCAACCCTCCAGAAAATAATTCCTTTTTTGGGGAGGGTCTCCCCTTCTAAAACAATTTGTTTTTAGGAAAGAGATGTGACATTAAATTTTCTCATTTCTCACATCAACCATTAGAATCAGGCTTAATGAGAGCAACGCTAAATTGTCTTTTTTAAATATATGATCCTGTTAAGAAGCCTCACTGTCCTTATTTGTAGATAGTGTTGGGAGCAAATTGAAGGGGCTAGCATGAGGGAGCCTTGTGGTGAGGAAGCAGTTCTGTATCTTGATGTGATAGTTGTCACACTAATCGATACATAGATAAAATTGCATAGAGCTATACACATGCACACACACAAACACTGCTAGTGAAATCTGAATAAGCTCTATGGGTTGTACCAATGTCAATCTCTTGGTTTTCTCATTGTATTATATAGTTATGCAAGGTATTATCATTGAGGGATGTGGCCGAAGGGTATCTAGGACTTCACTGCACATTTTTTTTGCAACTTCCTCCAAATCTATATTTACTCAAAACAAAATATTTTTTAAAAAAACATTTCAGAATGAGATTTAAAGTTGCATGTTAGTCAAAACTTGTGGTTATTTTTCATGTAGACTGACATAATAAGACCATGTTTTTGCTAGATGTTTATATCAATCCATATATCTCATAAGAATGATTTGTCAAACATAACTAATAGTTTATAACATAGAAAATAGACTATACAAGTATAGGTAAGGCTAAAACATATGTATGTCATTATTTCTACTTGATATATTTACTTATACATAATCATTGATTTTATTTTTCTTCATCCATAATTACAAAGAACACTGAATAAATACTGTTCTAAGTCAGAGGTTTTCAAAGTGTGATTTGGGGACCCTCAACACTTTCTGTGGGTTTGAGAGGTTAAAATGATTTTCTTGTTAATACTAAGATGCTATTTGCCTTTTTCACTCTTACCGTCTCAGGAGTGTTCAAAGAAATTTTCTAGAGTCTAGATGACATGTGATATTACAGCAAACTAAATAAAGAAACACAGAAGAATGTTGATATGATCTATTAGGCCAGTGTTTTTAAAATTTTGCAAAAAGGTAAACCAATGCCTCATTGATCTTTTTTTTTGTTTTGGAAATTGTCATTTTTATAAATATATGCTATTTGTGTTAACATGTGATGGGTTCAATGTTCTTGTTTTTTATATTTTTTTAATTTATTTTTAGAGAGAAGGTAAGGGAGGGAGAAAAAGAGGGAGAGAAACATCAGTGTGTGGTTCCCTCTCACACGCCCCCCACTGGGGACCTGGCCTGCAACCCAGGCATGTGCCCTGCCTGGGAATCTAACCGGCAACGCTTTGGTTTGCAGGCTGGCACTCAATTCACTGAGCCACACTAGCCAGGGCTAATGTTCTTGTTTTTAAAAGAATAAATGTTTTGAAACTTTTTCTGACATAATTTCTAAATCAGCAAATATTGACAAATATAACTTGACAAAAAAGTTCTTTGGGCTCTTCAATAATTTTTAAGAACATAAACAGGTTTGAGACGAAAAAGTGTAAAAACTACTCCTTAAGTGATATACAAAGCCACAAGAAAAATTTCAGAATTAAAAGTGGTTTCTTTTTTAAGCTGGCATCATCTTGTATTTTGATATTGCAGCTCATATATTATGAAAATTCAGCATTATGCAGTTAACATATATCAGAATTAATTCAGAGAGAAACGTTTGGAACAAGATTGCAGAATGTGAGAACGTGAAGTTAATCCACATTTTGGAATTTCCTTTATAATAAAGAGAAGAAATATTCGATAGATACATGCATGTGTGTATGTATATGTGTGAGTATACATATGTATGTATGTATGCACACACACATAGGTACATGTACATGTGTATGTATATTTTTATATATATAAAATATATACTTTTTTAATTTTATTTTATTTACTTTATTTTATATATATATATATATATATATATATATAAAAGATTGTTCCAAGAAGACTACAAGCATTTGGTACAATGTGACATCCTGCCCTTCACTTACAAAGGTGCTGTCATCGCTGCCTACTGCTCTGCTTCCAGAGAGTGAAGTTACCGTTTTGCTCAAGGTGTGAAAAATGAGGTGACTCATCTATACTCGCCACGCCCGGAAGCCCAGTTGACTCATAGCACGTTTTTTGAGATGACTAGGTAGGATAAGAAGCATAATTCTTTGTTAACAAAACAGATTAAATCTAACTGACTTCAAGAGGGTTAACCTAAGACTTCACCTCATTAGCTCATTTAACCCAGCTAACTACCAAGGAGAAGAAAAGTAGGCTGCCTTCAGAGAATGGTAATTAAGGAAAGGGAACCCTGGCAGTACAGCCTTTAATCCCCAGCACACTGTCTGGCAGGCGATAGATAGTCAACAGTTGTTTGTTGAACAGAAAATAGGCCTGTAAGTTTTAGTATCTTGCCTGGTCCAGAGAAAATAACAATAGTTCAGCCTTGATGAAAGATGTGAGGATGGGCAGTCACAAGGGAAAGGAAAATGTTTGGCGTCCTTCATTCCATCACCTCCCACATAGCAGGCCCCTGAGCAGGCTCACCCCTCCTTCCCACCAAGTGATCACACCTGTCTCTAGGTGCACACATTTAAAACGTTTGGTATCAGGGGTGGGGAAGTTTAGCTTGGTGGCCATGGCTACTAGTTTTCTTCCGTAATGCACACTAGTTGCAGTAAGCGGGTCTTTACCCTGTTATTGTAATGTGTAACATGTTCTGAACACGCAGTCTAGCAGTGCGTCTCCATAATCCCATGCTCCAGCCCTCAATCTCAAAAATCCTCTAGGTTCCCAGTTTTTCAAACATTGTAGACATTCAAACATGGCCCACAGGCAGTAGAGTGGTCTTGAGACCCATTAACGCATTCCCTGATAGCTTTCTCCAAAGGTAAGTGATAACGAATGTCTGAGAGACTGATGAGCAGAGGCTCAGAAACACTCCCACAGTCCCTCTCAAACCGTCCCCCCCATCCGTTCTTTGATATAGATAATTAGTTTTCTCTTTCTTATAAAACAGTGAGTCTTGGATAATTTGATAGGAGTTCAGGGTTGTTAAGTGCCAATTAAGGTCCAAATGGGACCTTTGAAAGACTGAAAGATTTTGAATAGATACCTGCTACATGTCAGGCACTGTGCTAAGTTTAGGTATCATAAATATAAATAAGTTTCCTGCTAGCGAACCCAGATACAAAAGCAAATAACTAGGAGTTAAAGTGATGAATGCTGTAATTAATATGAGTATTTATAAACATTGAGACCCATGGTAGGCCAGGCACATGAAAATGGAGAGATGAAAAAACTAGTAACAATAAAGGACACATACTTGATGGAAGAAGAAACGTGACATGGGTGAAACGGTGAAGGGATGAAGAAGAAAAAAACCTCAGAGACACAGACAACAGTATGGTAATTACCAGAGGAAAAGGGAGTCGGGGAGAGACAGAAGAGGGTGAAGGGGGCATAAATGGTGATGGAAAGAGACTTGACTTGTGGTGGTAAACACACAGCACAATACACAGGTGTTGTGTTAGAGAATTGTATACCTGAAACCTACATAATTTTATTAACCAATATAACCCCAATAAACTCAATTTAAAAATCACGTCTATAGTAAATCCATATTTTAGTGTTGTAAATTTGTATGGGAGTTTCATATATTAGGTAGTCCTCATAATTTCCCCAGAAAAATAGAGGTAGCAAATAGTTTGTCCCCAAACTACCCCATTATCCAGGAAAATAAAGCCAACTGAAATCACACAGTTCAGCAGCAACAGTATTTGCGATGGAGTTTCTGTTTATCAATCACTAAATAGTGTTTTGTGCCTTCACAAAATTTTTAAAGGGTGCCAACTTGTTTTCCAGATGAAGAAGAAAGAAAAGAGGTGACAAAGGACTGCCATGACTAGGGAAATATACAGCATAATTTATACAGCTACGCATTCAAAACCAGGGGTTTCTGTAAAGATGAACAGAACAAAAGATTACCTTAAAATATTTATTTTAAAAAATAAAGAAAAATAGAAAGCAGTATCTAGAAGAAAATTGAAAAGCTCATAGAATTATGAAAACAATTTCAATTTTTTGTGACTTCCCTTATAACAATCACATTTCGAGATGTTTCTTTTCTAATTAATTAAATTTAAGGGGCTTATAATGAGATGTATACTCTCTTATACCAGCCAGGGCTTAAAATACCCAATTTAAAAAATTAACATTATTTCAGTAATATATGCTTATCAGAAATAAAACATTGGATAGTATCAATTTATCAGCCA